AGGCACTAAACAAAGACTGACTCAGCTCTGAAGTAAATCATTATCAAACCAGGTGTAAAGTTCAGAACTAAGCTCAGGACCAAACCAGGTCTGAACGAGGACTGAACCAGGACTAAATCAGGACTAAACCCCATGTTGAATAGAATCAAACAAGAGCTGTACCTGATGATTTACATTACATAGTTTACATTAGTAAATCCATAATCCTTCTATATCTCTTCCCCTAGGAGCCAGTCCCTTCTACAATCTGTTAGAATCCAGTTTTGTCGCCTTAATGTCATCATATACATTTGTGTAAATAACAGTGGCAGTAGGACTGTGTGCCTGTCATTAGCCTATTGTGTGTGGCCTGAACCTTTCAGAGGGAGGGTCCCTCACCTGCTTGAGCTCTTGGTCAACTCTGACATCACCCACTGTCTAGAAGCAGGGCAGCAACGAGAGGGCCGGAATTGAGCTTTACTATGTCTTAAAAATCACCTTTCTCAAGCCTAAAGCCTGGCGATTGTGTCCCATGTTGCATGTTCCATCCATGAGTATTATGTGATCTTCATTTATTCATTAATTCACCAGTGTATCCAAACAGACAATCCTCTTTTCACAGACCTCCGGCGTGTGCACGAGGGTTGGCTTGGCAACCCCCAAACTCAGTATAGGAGAGGAAAGTTCTCTCTCCTCCTCCTCAACCCCCTGTCTCTCAGTCTGCATCCACCCTTTATCCTCCTCTTCCTCTCCAGTGCTCCTCCAGTGTTACTCTCCTCTTCCTCTCCCTCTCTTCTGCCCCTCCACCGGTTTTTATTCTTATATTAATGATTTGACATATGGGTCAGTCCATATGAAATCAGCCACCCTCCCCTATGAGCCATCTCAGATTTGGCTGAAAAAAAATTCTAAAAATTTTGAAAATCACCAAATGAAAGAAACTCACATTTTAGCTCAATCCCTTTAATCATTCCTGAGTTATGGCCTGTAGACATTTTGGGGCCATGCACGCTTTTTCGGAAGCCTTGATTTATAAGCATGTTTGAGAGACCATAACTTCATGAAAAAATAGAGCTAGGAAGCTGAAAATTGGTATTACTGTAGATTTTTGGTCATAGATTCTGAATCTGTTGTCAAATATTGGGTATCTTTATTAAGGGGGGCTCTGTGGTCCACCAAAATCTCACATTTGGTTGCCGCTCAAATTGTTTTTTAAATTTTTGAGGTCAAAGATTTATTGAGTGAGCATTAGACCCTTTGAAGAGCTCGTGTCACAATATGATTAGGCTACAGCAGGCTCACAATATAAGTGTCAATAGACAATACAAGACTAAGACTTGAAACACGTCCAAACATTTCATTCTCTTCCAAATGACAGATGGTTCAAAGGGCAGGTGTGTGTTGAGGTGTGCATGTGAAGCTGGGGGACCTGATTTTCAAAGTGTAAATGGACAAAGTAAGTTTTTAAATGATGATCCTGGACTCTGACTGGCCTTGTCTCTCACAAACCCTTTGGCACATCACTAGTATTCACATGCATGAGTTTTCATGTGCTCATCTTAAGCTCTATTCAGTAGGAGAAGTGAAGCAGAGTGGAGCCTCACACAGCCAACATGCTCTCAGCCCAAACTGGAACAGCTCTGTATCAGGACATTTCATTAGGGCTTGGGATCAATAAATACATGTTTCACAATTAGATTTCACTTTCACAAAACAGTCAGGTGCCCCAGTTTTAACACCAGTCTGTGTTAAAGTGGGACTAAACACATAAACTCCACCCACAACCTCATTTCTAACAGAGCTGCTGAATTGGGCAGAACCTGGACGACTTTACTTTATACTGGAATCGTCTAAATGTATAAATGAAGAATGGTGACAGGGGCTTGAGTCCAGCGCTTTGTCTAAGTTACAAATTATCAAACTTTCTAACTAATAAAGAGAACAACAAATATGTACAACTTTGGTTCCTTAAAATGACTTTGGTTCAGTGTGAGAGGCTTGAGTGACATTACCAAAAGAAAAGACTGTTTGTTTAGTCTGTTTAGTCTTTTGACACAGTACCAACCAGTCAGCAGGGGGCGCCATTTTATTGAACACAATTAGGGGAGATACTGTCCAAAGCATTTAATGTGAAGAGGGCAGATGGATCATTTGAATCCAAAGAACTGATCATGTTCATTGTTTTATATGGAGAACAATGCAACACTAAATGAATGGAAAAGTTGCAAAAGAACTGTTTTTATGCGCTTGGAAAAAGGAATCAAAAAGGAAATAATAGAACCATATTAAAGAAAGATGATCAAATACTTTCAAACCCAGAAGAAATGGGTAAGTATATAAACCTTTAAAGAGAAAAGGACCTGACTTATGACTTCAAAATATTGCATTCACTATCAAATCAAAGAAATCCAATGGAAAATATATCCCACGAGGAATGCAAATATATGGGTCCAGTCAAGCAGTAATGGAGGAAAACGGGTAGATTTTTGACATTCAAATGTCTCTTATTCAGAAACTAGAGGGACTATTGAAATAAGTAAAGTATCAGAATGTAGGAAAGAGTTACACTCCAACAGGGTCAAGTTAAACCTGTGAGATTCTTTCAAGTTGTTGTCAAAAAATTTTAAAACTCATGTCGGTAACAGAGGGAATGAAATATGCAGCACTTTTTGGACAGTTTGAATATTTGCTTCATATAGTTTTCTACCATATGGTACAAGATTAGGTTGAAAAACCTCTGACTTTTTGAGTCATGATATTTTTTAAGAAAGGTCATGGTAACGGAGGGAAAAGTAACGGAGGGAAAATTGTCCAAGCAAGTAGAAGGTGCAGGATTTTGCATAATTTGTCAGCTTTTTTCTTCTGAATACTTTAATATTACTTCAAAATGAAAGGAAACTATTTCTATAAAAAAATATATATATATATTTTTTTTAAATCATGTACCTTCATCAACAGTTCAAAGATGGAATAACACAAGATAAGATGAAATACATCCATTTATTTACATGATTTTCAGGTCTTTGAAATTTGGGAAATCATTTTTGTTCCATGTTTCATACATGGTCTGTTTAAAACATATGGAACTTTAGAACCAAAAATGGTCCAGAAAAAAGGTCAACAGTTTCATAAACTAGAGTACATATGTATCTGTTCAATACATTTTTATATCTGATGCATTAACTTGAATTTTTGGCCTTACTGTTTACTTCTGCTTGACCGGGCCCAGATATAAAGTGGAAAGTGAATGAAAGTGCTTGTTTAAATACTCATTTATGCAGTAATGAATGGCCTGTTCGTTACAACGACTTTGCTCTGTGTTTGGGTAAACTTTGAAATCTATCTGCTGTAATTTGGATGGTACTTGTGTTTTTTTTTTGCCTTTAGATGCTCTGTCCTGTCCACCTGCTCCTGTGACCTGCTCCAGCACTGAGCTGCTGCACTTAGAAATGAGCTCCTGTGCTGTGTTCAGCTCATGTTGTTAATGTGCAGGGGTGTCCCGTCCTGTTTTCACAGGACTTTCATTTCTGACTAAAACTGTTCAAATGACAGCGACTGAGTGTTCCAAATGGCACAGTGATAACTACATTTAAACTGACTTAAAACAGCGATGCAAACATGTCGGGGGGTCGGGGGAACTCTTTGCTCATAAAATCCCCTAAATGAACATGTGAAGTGTGCACCTCCATTGAAGATCTTAGCCCCCCTTATCTCCTCCAACCAAAAATGTCCCTGCTAACGTATACATAGAGCTCATGAAAACTACAGCAAATATTCACTCTCAAAAAGCATGAAGCATTTACAACAGTTTAGGCCTGCTCAGAACAACAGGGGTTTGCACATCACCGTGGCAACCAGAGCTGCGTACGTCATCGAAGCAAACGCAGGACTTAGAGGGAAACACTGTCACAGGTGTTTCTGGATGATCTTCTTGACAATGTTCAGACGAGCTCGTGATAATCCAACAGAAATACACCAAAACACGTCGAAAAGTCTCAGTCGGGGTTAAAGAGGTCATTTGACACACAGGGAGGGCATCTGACACACAGGGAGGGCATCTGACACACACAGAGAGGGCATCTGACACACAGGGAGGGCATCTGACACACAGGGAGGGCATCTGACACACAGGGAGGGCATCTGACACACACAGAGAGGGCATCTGACACACAGGGAGGGCATCTGACACACAGGGAGGGCATCTGACACACAGGGAGGGCATCTGACACACAGGGAGGGCATCTGACACACAGGGAGGGCATCTGACACACAGGGAGGGCATCTGACACACAGGGAGGGCATCTGACACACGAAATATGTTATGAAAACCAAGTTGCTGTGTACAGTTTTGTGTCATGTTTTTGTGTATTTATGGAGAATTGTCGTGTGGGAGCATGGATGACATAGGCTTGTTGGCGGAGCATTGTACAGGCTCGTACTGCTAAGGGCCCAGGAGAGATCTCTAGATGACTCAAACATGCCTGGATGACTGTCAAGCCTCTTCAGGCAGGTTTTTGATGAGAGAACATCGTTATAATGTGGGAGAAAGATCAGAAAAGTTACTTTAGTGTAATAGCCCCTCTTTAAAACGTGCAGTTCAGGAGCAGAGCTGACGTCAGTGAGAAACAGTTTTAGATGGTTTGTGCTGCAGTCTCCAGCCTCACCACTAGAGGCCGCCACAACACTGCAGGTGCATTAATGTGTTTTAGGCCAATTCTATTCCTCTTCACACTGACAAATTCTAAAGGGACAAAAGCTTTATGTGACAATATGAAATGATTTAAACATTTGTGTTTCTTGCAGCTCCTTCACATCTGATTTAGTTTGTCTCATTTTTGTGTCTGTCCTTTGAAAACGCCAGATTTCAGGATTTATTGCATGTTTTGTCAGATTACATTCACTTCAGATTATTATTCAGATGTTACATCCTGTTGTGGAATTTCTAGACTTCAAACATGAAAAAAGAACTGAAAAGTCGTCTTGAATCAAGGAGTGTGATTTATTGAAGCAATTGTGCACACAATCCCAAAACTCCCTGTTCCTGACAGAGTCGTCTGTCCTAAACTGTGACAGAACAATACAGACAGAGTCTTTCTACCCCACGGGGGCATAAGGCACAGGGATGATACACACACATAAGATAAGACCTAGTCTCATCAGAGAACAGGTCAACACAAGGCTGGATCAACAATCAGGAGAAGAACAAGCTCAGATTGATATAAACAACAGACACAAGGACAGAGTGTTGTACGTGGGAGAACAGTTCAGATTAGAACGAGACGTCAAGAAACGAGATCTAAAAACCAAGATGTAAGAATCAAGAGGCTGTGAAAACGTCACTTAACAGTCGACATCTGATGGAGCATTTATGATGAACCTAGAACCAGGAAAAGACACTGATGGAAAGATTTCCAGAACAGTCCCCACAGCTACACTATAAGTGACTCAGACTTGAGTAGTACTTTTCCCAAATACTTCTGATCATTTCTTGGACCTCTACTTTCTACTTCTATTTGAGTAATATTATTTTGAAGTAACGTGACTCTTACTTGAGGACAGTTTTTGGCTCCTCTGACAGTAACACACTTTTTTCAGGTAAAACTAAGTATGTCATCACAGTTACACATCCCCATGGAAACAAGCAGGTGACTCTACCAGGCCAGGTTACAGGTCAGATCTGTGGAGAGGCGACCCCGCTCACAGTCACACAGCAGCAAAAACAGCAGGAATGGAAGAAATGAAATATGGACTGAATGAGAGGAGAGAGAGAGGAATCACTTGTATTTTTTCTTGAGTTTTCAGACTATTTAAACACTTTATTATTAGTTCTTGCTCATGTGTCTCCATCTCTGTATGCATCTGAAACTTTGGTCCAGTGACAGAATTGAAGTTTCTTTTTCTCTTAATAACAGACACACACACACACACACACAAAAAAAAAAGTTTTTTCACCTGATTTTGAGTTGAAATTATTTAGTCCCTGAATCGGGGACACATGAGCGTCAGATGAGATGAGAGAGAGAGAGAGAAGGGTTTTCTCAAATATTTGATGACATTTTATAAAGTTCTGGTCCCGTACACATATAACACCCGCACATATCTCTCACACTACACATTTATCTTCATCCAGACACTGAAGTGAGGCTCATGTCTACAGGATTTTTCTGTCAACCCATACACAACACTTTTTTGTTCAGTGATGTAAACATATATGTAAAATATTGGATTATTTTACATTGAGGAGACAAACTCTGTCGGAGCACACAGAGATGCTGAAGAGTCTTCAGACCAGAGCCAAAACCCAGGGAGCAGAGTGTGAGTGAATGTGGTGTTGAAGGTGTGGAGGTGGGTCAGTTGGTCAGAGGAGACTGTGTAGAAGGACAGAGAACCAGCAGGACAGTCCACAAACACTGCTACTCTCCCAGAAGAGGAGGACCAGGACTGAGGGAGACGGGTTTGTTTTTTATTATGACGAACAATGAAACCATTTTTAGAACAGTCCAGACTCCAGGACTGATGATTGTGTCCAAACCAACTGTCATCACTGCGTCCTTTCCTTGTGATTCCTCTGTAAGACAGTGATATATAAACTAATCCACTCCACTGGACCTCCCAGTAACAGCGACCAGTCAGACCAGTGGAACACAGAATCTGAGCCCAGCCATCAAATCTGTCCTGATGATCTGGATACAGCTGCTCCTTTCTCACACGTGTCACCTTCTTGTTGTTGTCAGACAGTTTGAGGTTTCTGTCCGCTGTGTTTGGATCCAGAGTGAGATCACAGAAATCTGATGGAGAGAAAACACAACACAGCAGCAGTTAGTCCGCTTTCCACCCTCAACACATAAGAGACACACACATAAGTTAAAATTTTTAGGAACACAGAAAAAAAAAAAAAAAAAAAAAAAAAAAAGGGAGCACAAGGTTTTCATTTTGAAGATTTATTACAGTGCAGAACTTGCACACAGCAACACCAACTTACTTGAATTAATTTTATACAAAAAACAAAACAATTACGACTGTACTTTTCCTGCATGGCCATTGGTAGCCAGGTTAGGGTTCCATATCTTTGGTCCGACATCCCATTCATCTGAAAATGGACCACTGAGTAGAGATCCCATTAGTCTGACCATACACAGTAGAGATGGATGACTTGTGACGTGCAGCCTTCAAGTGTGCTGTGCTGTCACTCGAGCGTCTTGTGGCAGAAGGCCAAGGAGGAGGGGTGCGCAGCCTTTTCCACAACTAGCCATATATGCCACAAGTTAGTTAAGTAAATGACGCTAGTATTTGCTTTGGAACAAAACAGATTTCATTTCTAATATTGTGAATCCAAGACTACATGTCACACTCCTTTTTTCACCTAGGGCGAATCTACACAACACGGTGTAGTTTACGTTATATTGACTCTTATGTTAAGGGATGTGTTTTGATACGCCCAAAATGACACCGGTAAAACGTGGAGGTATGAATATGGAAAAGGGAAATCAAGCCATCAGATGCACAGTTTAGGAAAAAGAACAGGAGGTGGAAAAACGAGCACAAGATAAAGGTAGGCAAATGTATCATTGCATGGCAGCTCGTAGGCTATGAATCAGGAAATAAGGTAATAGACTAAGGGAAATCAAATCAAACTTTATTTATAAAGCGCTTTTCAAACTAAATGTAACACAAAGTGTTTTACAGTGATTAAAAAACAATCCCACATTTAATTTTAAAGTTTTGAAGACTGATCACCTGTGTGACACTGGTATGCCACCACTACACACAGAAGAGGGCTTCTCATAGTGTGTTATCCTTTTAGGCTTATACTGGGTACTCACTCACTTGTCTTTGGTTACTCTGCTGACTTCAATAAGCTGAATTGTTGGAGCGGCATAGGGTGCGTACATAAACTGCTACTCCAAGCACTCCGAGAACACTCTGGTCCTTTGAAACCGTTTCTAATTTCAGAGTGTGGGTGGAAATGTTGTTCATTTATTCAGAGCACCACACTTCCAGAGTGTTCATAGCGCACACCTTTGCTGTGTATGGTTGGACTAATGGGCTATCGGACCAATGGTCCTCTTTTTTATGGACAAATGGGATGTTGGACTAAAGGGCTGGCCCCAGGGTTAGATCATTGAATCATGGATCTGCCCAAGGTTTCTTCTTCTTCCTACAGACAAACAAACATAAAATTTTATTGAATTGAAAAAAAAATAAAATAAAAATGAAACTACAAGCTAAGTTTAGACAAGCATTGCAGAGCTTTTTGGGCTTTTTAAGGGCACACTCACAGGACTTTTGAACTGTGACGTGTTCAAGCATGATTGCCTGGGTTCTGTGTTCCGCACTCACACCTGTACAAATTACTGGGGCCACAGGTCAATGATGTCATCACACAGCACTGTTTGTTTACATGCTGCTTAGCAGAGCTAATGTGTTTGGCAGAAAAAATAAGTCCTGCAGCATGAAATATCTATTAAGTAGTAGGGATGCAATGGTATTCGATAAAATATCGAATCATTTAATACTGGTCTCACAATTCGATATACATGTTCGTTCATTTGCAATGTGTCAATATGCACATGCCTCCATGCACACTGTATTATCATTTATTTTTATAACAGCTCCATAGGGACTTTCAGCTGAAATAATCTAACAGAGGTGGATTTTATCTGTCACTTTTATTTTACGTTGATAGACCCAGAAATGACAAAGATATTAACTTTAAATACTTTAAAATCACTTTTTGCTTTACATCGGCTTTAATGAAATGCACTCGTATACGCACCTGCGAAGTGACTCGCATTATCGAGGCACATCAAAGCCTGTCTCCCCCCATGCTAGACCCACATCAGTTTGCATACTGGTCAAACAGATCCACGGAAGATGCAATAACCATCGCTCTTCACTCTGCGCTGAACCACCTGGAGAAACGGGAGAGCTATGTCCGGATGCTCTTCATTGACTACAACCGCAGTCCCACCCACCCAGAGAATATCATTGTCAAATTTGCTGATGACACGACGGTGGTGGGGCTGATAACAGAGGGGAATGAAGTGCCCTACAGAGATGAGGTCCTGAAACTCAGCGAGTGGTGTGCAACTAACAACTGTGCACTGAACATCACCAGGACTAAGGAACTCATCCTGGACTTTCGGCAGAACAGAGCCACCCCTGCCCCCCTGTACATAAATGGCCAAAGTTATTTATTAATTAATTAATTCTTGCTCTTTAACAGAGCGGCTCTGAATTTCACTATACCATTGTATAATGACAACAAAGGCTTTCTATTCTATTCTATTCTATTCTATTCTATTCTATTCTATTATAATTGATCTTTTTCTTAGACTCTGTATCATATGTTTTTAGATCTGTTGAGGCCGTTTTAGATCCGTTAGGACCGTTGAGACATTTCTATACAATACAATATAGTTTTAGTGTCCAGAAAGAGGACTGAGAGCACTGTGTGTCAGAGATTCTAGCAGGAGCTACGTACTGTCTGTGCCGTGCTTTGGCACACCTCCAACTGGGCCAAAGGCCCATCACCTGGGCACAGCTCGATCCCGCTCACTCTCAACAAACGTACTGCACTTTAGGGACTGTCCATGCTTGGGAATGGTTTAAAGTCCTAGTGTGAGTGCACCCTTAATGCTTGATACATTTTCGAATTCTATTTTGGCTGCTTTGTCATTTGATGCATTATAGAATGTTGACTTCGTCATGCTGTGCATAGTGCTTTCCTTATTGTGGGCAAGAAGCACTTGCACATTTGTGTCAGTTCTGTTCTCCTCGTTCACATGCTGAAATATTTACACAAATGCAAGACCACACAGTCTGAGCTCCTCACACAACTACACATATATATATTAGGGGTGTCAAATTATCGCGTTATTGCGATTAATTAATTACAGTCATATTTAGCTCATTATGTTTTTTAATCGCGTTAATCTCATTTTTAATCTCTAACTTTACTGTTTCTGTATGCGAGTTGCTTTATTGTAAAATATTAAATATATCTGTGATAAACCTGCAATCTTTGAAAATATTGAGTGTGTATACATGCACATCAGTATCCCGGTTATTAGCCCTATTTCCAGTTCTGTCAGTATTCGGGTTACTGTGTTGACATGCGCACTGAGAAACCAGGACACTCATATTCCTGTGTACATGATTAAATGGAGTATCCCAGTTTCTTGACATAATCTTACAAATGTGCAAGCACAAAAATTAACTTAAATCAATTTAATAAACAAGGAAAAATACAAACCGTGAGCTCCTTTAGCATAAGAAGCTCGGGAGGTTTAACCAGCGGTGAGGAACTATGAGATTTCCCACAATCCACTGCACAGATCAAACCCAACAGATTCTTCATTAAAATCTTCTGCATAAATAAACTCAACTTTATAACATATAAACCAAAACCACTATAGAGCCACATCAGCCCGTTTGATCATATAATTCAGCTTTGATCACATTTGTTTACATTTGATAGAAACGAAACTTAAGACCGCATGGCTCATAAACTGTTAGTGGTGATAAAAACAGCTGCTCCTTGTGCCACTGATGCTGTTCAGCTTCTGTCGGACTAAATGACACGACTCAGTGGATTATGTTTGTTCTTTTTATGACAGAAGAGGTGCTGATGATAGTGAGTCTGTTCTGTGTGTATATCGTACAGGAGATAGTTCATGTTTTAGTTTTTCAGTGATCACACAAGTGCAGGTCATCCGAGTGCAGGTCGTACGTGTGCAGGTTTAGCGCAGCTCTATATTTTACAGTCATTTCACTTGTGTGGTCACTTTATGTTGGTCACTTTATTTATGCTGGTCAATTTATTTATGTCGCTGTTGTTGTGGTGAAAAGACTGGAAAGTGTCTTTTGGACGCATGCGCACTCAACTTTATGTTGCAGTAAACGGGATACTGCGTTTACATGCCACAGTATCCTGGTTACTATCGGAATAAACCAGCTACAGTAACCTGGTTTCTAATAACTGTGATACTGCCATAACCGGGATACTGAAACCGGGACACTGTTTATACATGCACCATGAAGAAGCCGGGATACTCAAAAAACCCGATCACAACCGGGATACTGATGTGCATGTATACGCACTCACTGAGTCATGTCCTTTAGTCCCACAGAAGCTGAACCACATCAGTGCATTAGAGCATTTTTTATTTTTATTTTTTTTATTTTCTTCACTTAGTTTATGCAAATTAGCCATGTGGTTTTAAGTTTGGTTTCTGTGAGACTTGCGCAAAACTGCATTAAACACATAATGTCAAACGGGCTGATGTGGCTCTAGAGTGTTTATGGTTTATATGTTGTAAAGTTGAATTTATTCATGCAGATTAGTAATAGTAATACTAATGATGATACTGTGGAATGTAAATTACTGCATCTGTTAAAGTTTGAATAAATGACTTTATAAAGTCACTTTTTTTTTTAGTTCTATATCAGTCTTTTGATCTGCCACAATAATGTAATAATGAATTTAAATTAAAATACCTCAAGTTGAGGTTTCTCAGCGATTTTTTGGTGAGATTAAAAAGAGAGTAATTAGATTAATTAATTACAGATCATAATTAATTAATCTCTCTTTTTTTATTGCTTGACAGCACTAATATATATATATATATATATATATATATATATATATCCCATCATGCATTGTGTCTCATACCCATTTTAAATAAGGCTGTGTCTGTTTCAAATTGAGTGAATTCAACACTTACACTTTCTGAGTCCTGGTGTTAACCACACAGCTCCAGCAGGCTCCAGTCTGAAACACATGAAATGAGTCTGAAACATGACATGAGCTGCGGGACCAGCACTCCAGGTCAGTTCCCTAAAAGCCTTATAACACTACACCAGTACCTGACTGCCTAGAAGATGTGGTGTATGCTCCACAAGATGGGACTTCCTCCTGCTATAAGAGCATCCCAGCATGTCTCCACTTTAGTCTAAGTAGTAAACACACTCTTCTCACTTGAGGAAAAAAAGTGCGGTCTAGTGAGATACCTCACGCATGTTTCAGAGAACCAGAATTAACCTTAAAGCTGCCTTTGACCATTTGTTTCAGTATCTCACATATGGGATGTAGCTTACCCAAAGACCAGTCATTGAGGCACCCGGGGTGGCGCTACCAGGCTCAGAACATTCTGAGATAGTGAGGGCCCAGTGATATCCAGTCTACAAAACCTGGTCTCTTTCATCTCTTTCAACATCTCTTTCTGTCCACAGTAAAATGGTCCAAACCTGAGAGTGTCCAGTGTGCAGTGGAGGTCCTCCTGTAGAGCAGACAGGAGCTTTACTCCTGTGTCTCCTGGATGGCTGTAGCTGAGGTCCAATTTTTTCAGATGGGAGGGGTTGGACCTCAGAGCTGAGGCCAAAGAAGCACAGCCTTCCTCCGAGACCAGACAACCTGACAGTCTGAGGACACAGATTATTGTAATCAGTCCATTCATTAGTAACATTCAACCCAAATGAGACAAAGAACAAGTCCCCTAACTTTATGTTACTTTTATCAAATACAATTTTCCAATGCAAATACCAACAGATTATGTAATAATAGTGAATGATATGAACTCCTCTGACCTGAGCTGCTCCAGTTTACAGTGAGGACTCTTTAGTCCAACACACAACATCTTCAGCCATGAGTCCTTCAAGTCATTGAGACTGAGGTCCAGGACTGTCAGACTAGAGGACTGGGAGCTGAGGACTGAGGACAGAGCTTCACAGCTTCTCTCTGACAGGTTACAGCTGCTCAGTCTGGAGAAGAAGACAGGAACTCAGAACAGAACTGACAAGTTCAGATACATACTTTCACTTACAATCTCAACAATCAATCTTTAAAGAAAAAAATACATTTTTATTCATGAAAACAATAGCAGGAGTTATTTTTCCTGAAGGATGGTGTTGTATTACCATATTTTACAGGCTATTAGGCGCTCTGGATTATAAGGCGCACTGTCATTGAATGATCTTTTTTCAAACTTTTTTCACATATAAACCGCACCGAACTATAAGGCGCATTAAATGAAACACAGCAGTTAGATAAGTCAGTCAAACTTTATTTAACACGTTTACAGTAACTCAACTTTGTTCATTTGTAACACATAAAAGAAAATACTGTCTGAGACCGATAAATTGTCAGCGTATTCACAATAACTCATAATTGTTCAGTTATAACTAAAAATAACACATTACACTCACTTTTTCAGTTCATTCCTTGTCCACAAATCCCTCAAATTCTTCATCTTCAGTGTCCGAGTTAAACAGTTGGGTGATTCCGGCGTCCAGCACGCCCGCATCCCTCTCGTCATGATCCGAGTCAGTGTGGTTACTGTTCCCTGGCTGTTCAGTGATGATTCCAGTCTTGGTGAAAGCTCGGACCACAGGTGATACTGATCTTTAGCCCAGGCATCCACGATCCACTGTCAGATCGTAGCGTAAGTCGCTCTGCACTGTCTCCCTGTCCTGGTGAATGTGTGTTCATCTTCTCTCATCCACTGCCCCCACGCAGCTTGCAGTTTAACTTTGAACAACTTGTTGACACCAACATCTAGCAGCTGAAGTTCTTTAGTTAATCCACCTGGAATGATGGCAAGCACTGAATTAGTTTGTTTCACATGTTTTTTGATGGCATTGGTGAGATGGGTGTGCATGGAGTCACAGATCAATAGGGACGGAGATGTGTGGAAAAAGCCATCCAGTCTCTTAATGTAAATTTCTCGCAGCCACTTGCTCATCTTTTCTTCGTCCATCCAGCGTTTGGGTTAGCTTTGATGATGACGCCGGCTGGAAACTTTTCTTTTGGTAAAGTCTTTCTCTTGAAAATGACCATGGGTGGAAGTTTCTGGCCATTAGCCTGGCAACCGAGAACTACAGTGAAGGATGACTTCTCATTCCCTGTGGTGCGTATATACACCGTTCTGGTCCCTGTTTTCTCCACAGTGCGGTTCACGGGGATATCAAAGGTGAGCAGTACTTCATCCATGTTGGTGATGTGCTCTGGTCGGATCTTGTTTTCAGTGATTTTGTCTTTGCAGTATGCGCTGAAAGATTACGCTGCGTTTCATCGTAATCTTTTGACAGTTGCTGCGAGATGATAGTTTGTGTGTGGATGGAGAGATTACATCTTTTAATAAAACGATAGCACCAAGAAGGCCCGCCTTGAAAGTTACTGATAGCCATATCCCATGCTAACGCTGTTGCCTTCTTGCGAATAGTGACTGTACAGACGCTTCTACCTGCTGCTCTCTGTTCAATGACCCACTGTTCAATTTTGTCCTCCAGTTGTGGCCATCTCTCTTTGTTCCCTCGGAAACGCAGGTCATCTTCTTGCTTCCTCCACTTCCACACCATTGATTTGTTAATGTTGAGTTCTCTCGCAGCTGCTCTGTTCCCATGTTTTACTGCATGACTTATAGCCTTGAGTTTAAAGTCGGCATTGTAAGCGTGTCTCTTGACAGGTGGCATTTTGATCATGATCATCTGAGGAATCACAGTACGTATCACTCCGCGATGCTCCTGACTAGGGTAGCCGTAATGCTGCAAGTGGTGCGGCTTTATAGTTTACTAAAGTCGTACCGGAACACTTGCGTAAATTCATATATAAGGCGCTCTGGATTATAACACATGCAGTCGTTTTTGGATGAAATTTAAGGCTTATAACAGTGCCCAATAGCCCGGAAAATATGGTACCTGTCTTTTAAAATTGGACAGTCAAATTTCATGAAAATCAATGTATCCATTTAAAAGAATGAGCCTACATACATCATGAATACAAATGTCCTTGGGACACAGTTGACTTCAAACATGTTCTCATTGGTTCGTGGACAGAAGAAGGAGATCAGATGCCCTTTGTTGTGCTGTTTGTTTTTGTCTCTGCTGTTTTGGCATTGTTTGCCTCCCTTTCTCTTTTCCTTTCTCTCTTCTGTAAGTGTGTCTCCTCTTCACACTCTTATTTCTTGCTGCTTTGCACTAGTAGAACGGAATGCAACTTCCAACAGGGTATCAAAGTTATTAGTTTTAATGTAAATGGGTTTGGTAACAAAATAAAGTGCTACAAAACATGACCACATCTTAAATCTTTAGCCTGTGACAGTTATGATACAGCAGACAGATTTAAGTGAAATGGAATCGCATAAATTAATACAGAGACGGGCTGGACCGAGGCTTTCCTCAACAGGAAAAGTGTAACACGAGACCACAGTCAGTCATGTATAACTATAATTGGCAGCATCAAAAGGCTGGTTTTTATAGGAGCCTGAGGTGTGAAAAACACAAACAACCAGTACTGGTTGTACTGGTACTGAGGTCCAACAGCTGCTAAAGGAAAGGAACACTGCCTTTAAGTGAGGTGATGGAGCTCTGTATGGTGCAGCACGCTCCAAACTCAAGAGGGCATCCATAAGGCCAAGTCAGACTACAGGAAGCGGTCTTTCTGAACAGTGACTGTACTTAATTTTGTTCAATGACAAATAAAGATATTCTATTCTAAAAAAAAACCCCCACACATATATATATATATATATATATATATATATATATATATATATATATATATGTCCAATAACATCCAGATATGGACGTTATTGTACATAGATATGTTTATAATACTTCTTATGGTTATCAATTATATTTACATAATTAGATATTCATAATGAATTTATAATGAATGTCTGAAAATAAAGCAAAGGAAATGCTGCATCCCCCACCCCCCTCCTCAGTTTATATAATACACCAACAAAAGGCAGGGTAATACAACTAATACAACTACAACTCCTGTATATGTAGCTAACCCCACGTCTGTCTGTGCAGCTACGCCCAAGCCTGTCTACGCAGTTAAACTGTCTCTTAGACTGTATATATAAATGGACATAGCTAACCTGCTAGCTGCTGTATTCCAAATAAGGAGTGAGCATTGGCATGCTTCTGGCTCCATCAAATCTGGATCCAATTAATTTTCTACTGTCAAAGTGTGGCTCTTCTCTCTCTGTATCTGCTGCGGTGAGCCACGTTATTTTGGTTTTAAGATGTTTGTAATAAACTGCTCTGCATTTCACTATTTTCTCCCAAATCAAGACATGGACATTAATAATAGACCAGTCAGGGACCTCATTTCCCCAAGGTCCCTCCCACTAGCGTTAGCAACAGTGGTCCGAATTCTTAATATTGAACTCGGCTGCAAATTTGCTTTATAACTGCTAACCTCACTGAGCCCACTTCGTAATGCAGTCTATGTTGTGTCTGCACAGGTGAACCGAGGTCTGTCTGTGAATCGCTCAATAAGCTTTTACTCCACCAGCGTGCATAGTCCCCAAGGTCTATTTAGACACAAGCAAAAAGAAAAGACTTTAATAATTACTGTATAAGTCTAACCTGAGCTGTTCCAGTTTACAGAGAGGACTCTTCAGTCCAGCACACAACATCTTCAGCCCTGAGTCCTTCAGGTCATTCTGACTGAGGTCCAGGACTGTCAGACTAGAGGACTGGGAGCTGAGGACTGAGGACAGAGCTTCACAACTTCTCTCTGACAGGTTACAGCTGCTCAGTCTGGAGAGATGAAACATTGTTAATGTAGAAGTTGAATCAAATCATCCTCTGTTCAACAGAAGTTACTCACAGAGCTTTTTTGGAGGCCTTGACCACTGGTAGCAGCCTCAGGAGAGCCTCCTCTGAAGCAGAGTACTTCTTCAGATCAAACTGCTCCAGATCTTCTTCTGATGACAATAAGATGAAGGCCAGAGCTGACCACTGAGCAGGAGACAGTCCACCTTCAGACAGACGTCCTGATTTCAGGTACCACTGAATCTGCTCAACCAGAGAACGATCATTCAGTTCATTCAGACAGTGGAGCAGGTTGATGCTCCTCTCTACAGACACATCCTCACTCAGCTTCTTCTTGATGTACTCAGCTGTTTTCTGATTGGTCTGGGAGCTACTTCTTCTCTGTGTCAGCAGACCTTGTAGAAGGCTCTGATTGGTCAAATGTGAAAGTCCCAGGAGGAAGCGAAGGAGCAGGTCCAGGTGTCCATTTGGACTCTGTAAGGCCTGGTCCACAGCAGAGCAGTAGAAGGCTTCAGTGTCAGGGCACTCAGAGGACTGTGGTGGGTTCAGCAGGTTGATCCCAGTGTTGATGAAGGTCTGATGGACGTGAAGAGCAGCCAGAAACTCCTGCACACTCAGATGGATGAAGCAGTAGACCTTGTCCTGGTACAGGCCTGTCTCCTCTCTAAAGACCTGTGTGAACACTCCGGAGTACACTGAGGCTGCTGCAGCGTCCAGTCCACACTCGCTCAGGTCACTCTCATAGAAGATCAGGTTTCCTTTCTGCAGCTGCTCAAAGGCCAGTTTTCCCAGAGACTTCACCATCTCCCTGGTCTCTGGACTCCAGTGTGGGTCTGTCTCAGATCTTTCTTCATACTTGATGTTTTTGACTTTGGCCTGAACCACCAGGAAGTGGATGTACATCTGAGTCAGGGTCTTGGGCAGCTCTCCTCTCTTTCTGCTTTTCAACACATGTTCCAGGACTGTGGCAGTGATCCAGCAGAAGATCGGCATGTAGCACATGATGTGGAGGCTTCTGGACGTCTTGATGTGGGAGATGATTGTGTCAGTCTCGTCTCTGAACCTCTTCCTGAAGTACCGCTCCTTCTGTGGGTCTGTGAACCCTCTGACCTCTGTCACCATGGAGATACACTCAGCAGGGATCTGATTGGCCGCTGCAGGTCGTGTGGTTATCCAGAGGCGAGCGGAGGGAAGCAGGCTCCCCCTGATGAGGTTCACCAGCAGCACGTGCACTGAGGCGGACTCTGTGGGGTCGGTCAGGGCCTTGGTTTTGGTGAAGTCCAGAGGAGGTCTGCACTCGTCCAGACCGTCAAAGATGAAGAGCACCTGGAGGTCTTCAAAGCTGCAGAGTTCTGCTTGTGTTTGACTAAAGAAGTGATGAACAAGTGTCACCAAGCTGAAGCTTCTCTCCTTCAGCACATTGAGTGATCTGAAAGTGAACGGGAACAGCAGCTGTATGTCCTGGTTGGCTTTGCCTTCAGCCCAGTCCAGAGTGAACTTCTGAGTGAGCACTGTTTTCCCGATGCCAGCCACTCCCTTTGTCAGCACTGTTCTGATTGGTCCATGTGTGTGAGCTGGGCCTTTAAACATGTCTTCACATGTGATGGTTGTTTCTGCTGGGCCTGGTTTCCTGGAAGTTGTTTCCATGTGTCTGACCTCATGTTCCTGGTTGACCTCTGAAGACCCTCCCTCTGTGATGTAGAGTTCTGTGTAGATCTGATTCAGAAGGGTGGGGGTTCCTGCTTTAGTGATGCCCTCAAACACACACTCAAACTTCTGCTGCAGGTTAGACTTCAGTTTACGTCCACAAACTCCAGAATAACTCCCTGAATGACGACAACAGATACAGGCCTGAGTCTCAGAGAAGATAAAATGACTGTGAGCACCTTGTTAAATGTGTTAAATGGTCCTACTGCTCCACAGACGCTCAGCCAGCTCCTTCTGCTTCATCCTCCTCAGGAAGTTCAGTGTGATCTTCAGAACAGCCTCACTGCTGCTCCTCTGCTCTTCATCCTCATCCTGCATAGTCTCTAAGCATTCTGGGTAATCTGTACTCAGAACCTTGTGGAGCTTCTTCAGCTTCTTCTGGACAAAAGTGAAGATGTCCTCCTCCAGAAGCTGAACAGACACATTATAAACAACACAAATGCAGTCAGTGTCAGATCTGTGTCAAACAAGTTCTCATTCATCTGAACATTTCCAAACTTTAGTGAATGACAGACCTTAAATATGGAGTCCAGCTGTGTGTGATGGTGCTGACCACTGGAGACCTCTGGACCCGTCTGCTCCACTCTGTGAAAGAGACACATTAAACTCTCAATTCAGTTCTATTGTTTTATTCAACACTTGTGGAAACTCACGGCTCTGTGGCAAAAACAATGGGAGGTGCCATCGATTGGTCACTCCTGAGGGACTCACAGCTGGGACCAGGTTCAGATGGAGGATGTTTCTGGTGAATTCTGAGACACAGAAGAAAACACACTTCAGTCACAGTAAAACACATGGAACTGTTCTGACTCAGGTCAGATACTTCAGGAGGTTCTACAAAGTGAGGCTGTTACCACAGATGCTTCAGTACAATGGTTCGAACAAAGTGACACATCATATTCATATATACTTCATATTTCAGAAACTACTTATACAAAATAGAAAGTACTCACACCTTTTTATTTTAAACTTCAAACTTTTTCACATCCCAGGTCGAGATAATGGATGTTTTTTAAACCAGTGCACTCTTAAAATCTTTCAATTAGAGACAGCATTTTCAGAAGATGAGACAAGATTTAAAAGTAATTTACCACAATCGGATCAATGTGCATTTTCGTCACATTATTTTCATTTGGTTCATTTGCTTTAGTTATATATTGTGTTGTGAGTGGGTTTTATGGGTTGCTAGAGTTTTAAAAATTGATTTTTTTTTCACAATTATTTTCATAATACCTTTATGCATTAAACACCATTTCTGCATTGTAAATCTCTCCATGCATCACAACGATCATTACAATATTTACAATACAGGCACGGTGCAGAGGGAGTCAGCCAGAGGAGGAGTACTCCTTTTTCCTTTCTTATATTCTTCTCAACTTATGGATGAAGAAGGCCTATAAATGTTTAAGTGTGAAGTGAGGCGTAACATCTCAAGGCAATTTGAGCTCGTGAGATCTCATCACCCCAATGGGATCATAATTAAAATCTAAATATAATTTGATTTCTGGAATTGTCAGATAATTGAAATGTAACTTAAAACAGCAAAATTTGATATATGATTTCTCTCAGAAAGACAAGACGTCCTACACTGAAGCGACACATGTGCACCTGGTGTTTTCGGTTATCACATTTCTTTAGTTCATGTAAACACACACAACAGTCACATCTAATCATTGGCTCAGACTTACTGTGGAACAAGCTCCTTTTTAAAATCGATATAATGTTCAATAGCGTGTTCACTTCCCAGCGCCGCCCTGCTGGTGGTGGGAGGGTCTGCGTCCTCTCTCTGCTCTCTCTGATCCATGCTCAGTCCAGAGTCCTACAGAATGACAACACAGTGTTTAGCCCCGCCCACTGCTCACATGGTTCATCTCATGGAGTTTTGTTAAGTGCCTCCATAAAGAGACTTTCAAATCCAAAAGTTAAGGAGAAGACGCCAAAAGAGCCAAACATGTTAGAAAATAGAACTGTAGAACAGGGATGGGCAGGATTGTCGACTAATTGATAATTGATCATTAAGAATTTCGTTGATCAAGTAAATTTTTAAGCAACAAACCAATTGTAGGTTGCTGTACCTAGTGTAGCATAAGGAGACAAGGCTGGGTCTGACAGCACAAACTGGAGTTGCGGCCTCACAGTCCCATGTTTGGGCTCTGGCACCTCCTTGGAGATCACTGTAAAACTCAGTAAGTGCGTTTACATGCATATGTCATGATCTGTTTTTTTTTGTCTCCCGGTTTTGTCATAGTGCATGTATACACAGTATATATACATATGTATATATACTATACAAATAAAGTGACCATGCATGAGTGAAATGAGTGTTAAATAAAAAGCTGCTAAACCTGCACACGTCTGATCTCTGAAAACATGAACCATCTCCAACGCAACTCACACACAGAACACACTCAGGATCAGCATCATCAGCATCCCTCTGTCACAGAGAGAAAACCTGTATTCCACTGAGTTGTGTCTTTTAATCCGACAGAAGCTGAACCGCATCAGTGCACAAGGAAAGAGCTGTTTTTTTCAGCACTTATAGTTTATGCAAATGAACCACTTGGTTTAAAGTTTAGTTTCTCAAACTAATCTCAAATGGGCTGATGTGGCTCTAGAGTGTTTATGGTTTACTTGTAAAGTTGAGTTTATTTATTGTTTATATGTATTTTATAAAAAAATTAATGATTAATTGAAAATCAATCATTAATTCTCCCAATGATCGATTAAGAAAATTTTATTGAATGCCCAGGTCTGGACAGTTCTGAATAAAATGGTATGGAGATGTGCTCCCTGTGGAGATTCTATATGTAATGCAGCTGTGTGTTCAAACACAGACACTATTCCCCGCCCACTTCTCTCATTGGTTAAACTCTGTCAGGCTCTGAGTGAGTGACACATGATATTACAGTTGTTTGCTAAACAGTCGTTGATCAGTGAAGTCACCTTTTTGTTGTTGTTTTTTTTTTTCACTACTACAGGCCTGTTGTCTTGTGCTAAAGGACACTGGCTTAAACTCTGTCACTTTCCAGTGTTTGAATTATGTGGGAACCAGTGGGAGCGATGGCTCCCATGAAAGCAGCAAAATTTATTATCTGGGGGCGTCTCTCAAATATGTCATATTTAATCATAAATAAAACTCATTTCCGATCACTGTGCACCCGTAACTTTGTGTTCAACGTGTTAAAATGCCTAACATGCACAGCTGCACTTCACCACCACTCCACCTGTGCTGGGAAAGTTCATTTTCTACAAGAACTAGATTAAAGTTCACAAATTTCAAAATTAACTAGTTTGTTCATTGTTCATAACTATAGTAAATAATTTGTTCATACTTCCACACTTTTTTTTTAAAATTTTGCTGGACAGTCCTTATGCAGTGCAAAAGTCCAGCATCGCAGTCACAGAAGTCACGTAAACGGGAAACGGCCATTATCCGTTTTTTCCATTCTTCATTTAAACACAAAATCAAAAACTGAAAAAACAAAGTGTTGCCTGTTTTTTTAAATTTTGGTTTTGGAGATAAATAATGAAGAAAACTGTTGCTTTTTCATTTTCTTATTTTTGGTTTTATATTGAAAAATGAATGAACAAATGATACACGGATTCAAGGCATCTCTCAGGTCTCAGCTTCTTCTACAGGTAAATAGGGGTGGATCTTTGAATATTTGGGACAATTCTGGGCAAGTCTTGAATATGCGCCAGTGTTTTAAACGAATTAATAGATCTTGTGGCTCTGGGGTGTGTATCTGGGTGTATTCACCCCTAGAGTTTGGTTATGTTTGAATTAACAAATGATACACAGATTGCCTTGGTACATTCAAATTTCTCTCATGGCAGGAATCCACCAAATGTACAAACTCTCCTTGTCCCTAAGCCTAATGGCAGTTACAGGTGTGGTGGCAGAGCTCAGTTTCATAACACCACAAAGACTTCTCTTTTCTGTCACCACTTTACCAGAAACAAGTTCCTCATTACCGGTTCCCCATTCCCAGTTCCCCATTATCTGCACGTCTCCTCATGAATTTTACCTGCTGTACTACTCGTGCAATCTCTGATGTAATGCCCTGATGTCCAAAAAGTGTTGTAATCAAGAGGACATTGTTTGCCCTCTGAGCCATGAGGGAGGATCATGTAAACTCTTCGATGCTCCACTTATTTTACAAAAACACTGGAATAAAGAGATGAAAAAAGAAAGGAAGCCATGGTGCTCTGTGATAAAACCTCCCTCCAGTTTACAACAGCCTCAAAAGATCTTGGCACAAATCAAACCAGCCAAAAGTGAATGACTCAACAGCTCTGAAGCAGAGGAGGACACTTTGTGCTAAAGAGGCCAAATTATGAGTGAACAAAAATATGTTTAAATGTGAATGGAAAATTGATACAAATCTAGGTCAAGTATAAAAGATGTTCAACTGTGACAACATAGTACAATAGTAGATTAAGAACACATGGATTCGTAAAACAGATGCAAAAGTATCTCAAGTTATAATGAGATGAATGGCATAAACAGGCGTATAACCAGAAAAACAACAACAACAAAAAGCACAAGACTATCTCAGCTCTAAATTAGACCATTATCAAACTAGAACTAAACCAGCATGAAACCCAGTGTTGAATAGAATCAAACTAGTGATACCTGAGCAGATCCAAAGAGTCCAAAGTGTCTCAGAGGAAAGTGTGTGTCTGAAGGAAGAGGCTTGTTTGTGTGTTTTCTCTGGAGCAACTCAGAGCTGCTCCTCTATTGGCTGCAGTTCAGGTGGGCGGGGCTTCGCACAGGTGAAGTGATGTGACTGCTGCTGTGATTATGGACACACACACCCACCCACGCGCACACACACACACACACACACACACAAATACTTTTCAACTACTGTTATAAGAACGACTTGGCATATACATTATCCCAATAGACACTACTAGAAATAAAATAAATATAATAAAGATACTGCAGAGTCTGTGTCTGTCAGAGAGTCCATCATGTTCATGTGTTTTGGGACTGTCCTACTGCTCTGAAATAATAACTCACATCTTCATTCAATCATATCTGAACACTTGACTTTAAAGGTGCATTGTGTAACTTTTTTGGTCTAGGTTTCACCACCTGTTTGTCTCCATGGAGATATGACTCTTTTGTCTTGATTATTCCACAGTCTGGAAATGAACTTGGTCATCACAATGGAGACAGGTTAATGATCAGATCTATGGAGAAATAAGGCTGCACATGGTCAGAGTTCATGTTTTAAAGGTATTTATGAACTAAAAACACCTGAAATTGAATAAACGCAAGGAAGATATGTTTAATGCGCTACTGTGGAACATTCCATGCAGACAGGGAGAGTTACATAGTGCACTTTTAAATCCTAGAGTATAACAGCAGCTTCACATTCTAAAATCTGAAAACCAACAATACTAGTGCTGGGATTAAAGGGTTATTCAAAAGAGAAATCCACAAATGTTGAACCTGATGATTTACATTAGTAACATTAGTCTATAGTTCATAAACCCCAGCAGCCAGTCCCTTATTCTACATTGTGTTGGAATCAAGAAGATTCTGGAATGGGACCACAGAGTGAGACAATCCCCTCTCTGATGGGGGGCAGTGAGTTAACCAGTGTAGGTCCTTGGGCAAGACCCTTTGTGCTACTGCCATGTCATACAATGATGAGAGACAATGAAGCTTATGAGATGCCGGCCCAGACATTGCTCGGCCAAACAAGGTCTGCGTCAGGTGCTGGGGAACCAGGGCACCTTGATGAAAAATGGGCTACTGGAACATGGAGGAAATGGGCGAGATGCGAGAACAAGGCTCTGTTGGAATGCTACTACTACAGTAACCCTAGGCAGAGGGGTTACATGAACAGGATGTGGGAGAAATGGTTATTACGATACCCACAGTCCAAGCTAACGGCCAAACAACTAGTAGCTCAGTGTTCCAACATCCACAAACAGCAACTGCTATCACAACTAGAGATTGATGAGGTACAACACAAATGCTACAGCAAGGGGGAACCAGTGTGCCAGGTCAGAGGGGAGTTAACACCAACTCCCCAACCAGAGATTGGGTATGACGCCCCAATAAGTATCACGACTGACCTGAAAGATAAGATCATGGCCCGAATGAACACAAGGCAACCCCGACGCCAGTAACAGAGGCTAAATTAAGTACCATCTGAAAGTCTCCCAGAAGATGCAGGGTAATAACACCAAAGCAGACCCACCAAGGCTGGAGACTGAGAGGTACTGGAAAGGCATATGGGAGAGGGAGGCATCACATAACACCGATGCACAGTGTATACGGGGAAAAAATGACACGTGTGCAGAGGAGCAGAAGTGAAGAGAGTTTGAAGAAGTGTTTAATCAAGAAATCATCAAAAGATTTACATATGGGCCCGGTCAAGCAGAAGTAAACAACAAAAATACAAGTTAATGCATCAGATATAAAAATGTATTGAACAGATACATATGTACTCTAGTTTATGAAACTGTTGACCTTTTTTCTGTACCATTTTTGGTTCTAAAGTTCCATACGTTTTAAACAGACCATGTATGAAACATGGAACAAAAATTATTTCCCAAATTTCAAAGACCCAAAAATCATGTAAATAAACTGATGTATTTCATCATATCTTGTGTTATTCCATCTTTGAACTGTTGATGAATGTACATGATTAAAAAAAAAAAAAAAAGTATTTAAAAAGATAAAAATGTTCTTGGAAGGACTGACATATTTTATAGAAATAGTTTCCTTTCATTTTGAAGTAATATTAAAGTATTCAGAAGAAAAAAGTGACAAATGATGTAAAATCCTGCACCTTCTACTTGTTTGTACAATTTTCCCTCCGTTACTTTTCCCTCCGTTACCATGACCTTTCTTAATAAAAAATCTCATGAGTCAAAAAGTAAGAGGTTTTTCAACCTAATCTTGTACCATATGGTAGAAAAATATATGAAGCAAATATTCAAACCAGTTTGTTAAGGATATGGAAGTGAGAACCAAGAGTTATCACTGTTTGGATTTATTGACCAAAAAGTGCTGCATATTTCATTCCCTCCGTTACCGACATGAGTTTTTAAATTTTTTGTCAACAACTTGAAAGAATCTCACAGGTTTAACTTGACCCTGTTGGAGTGTAACTCTTTCCTACATTCTGATACTTTACTTATTTCAATAGTCCCTCTAGTTTCTGAATAAGAGACATTTGAATATCAAAAATCTGCCCGTTTCCCTCCGTTACCACTTGACCGGACCCATATATAAAATAGTTATATTCATATTTGAGCATTTAACCCTTATACTGTTCGGGTCAAATTTGACCCATTTTGACATTCAACAGTAGCAAAAATACCCTAAACATCATTCTTTTATCCTGAAATTTGATGACTTTTCCTAAATTTTGCCAAAATACACAAAAATGAAAATATTTTAAAATGTTATACTTTTGTACAGGTGCTACAAATTTTAGGACACTGAGGCTGTTTCGGGTCAGTTTTGACCCGTATCTATTAAGATGGATTTTAGCTTTATCAGTGCAGGTCAAATGAAGCAAAATGGAAATTTTAGGGAAACTTGAAACTGTGAAACTGCACAGACCATGTTTGTGTGTATTTTTTTTAAGGCACAGTGGTGACAGAGTTCAAGAGTTCACTGTTTTGAGATTCCCCCATGTCCCAGGTTCCCAGAGAACAGACGCCTGTTGGTTTTTGAAGGGGCAAAGGAGAATCTCAAAACAGTGAAAGGAGTGAACATCCTGTTTATGGAGCACAGAAGAAACACAAGTCAATCAAGTGGGAGAGAGAGATCTTTTCTTCTAAGTTTGAGTAAGTTCACCCAGGACACCACAGTTGTCTCATACATGTAAAAGAAGAACAAGAATGTCATTCTTATGAGCACATTACATGTAATAATGTGGCTGCAGAGGTGAGCTCCTGGGAGCTCCATCATCATCATCATCATCATCATCATCCTTGACTACAATGCCAACGAAGGAGAAGTGGAAAACCTTGACAAAGTAACAGACACAGCTGCAAAAGAAGAACCTCCCACTGGCCTGCTTTGTTGGCCCACTTTGTCTATGGAGTGAACTGAACTCGACCTGGAGGCCAAGCAGGAGGAACTGGAGGAGGTTCTTTCTGGAGGAGTTTGGAAGGGCCCTTGTGACTCCCTGTATGCAAAGGTGACACCAGCTTCCCCACACAGCAGCTTCAGCAGCGTTGGTGAGGCCAGTGCAGTGATCTGAACCTGACCCTGATCAAGAAGTCACACCAGAAACCAACACAAGGGCACAGAAGAGAAGGAGATACAACTTTAGCCCTGCAAAGAAGAACTGAAAAACAGCTACAACCTGCTGCAGATGTGGAAAACACAGATGCAAGTCCCACACACACAAAGTTTCCTCCCACTGCTCTGAATGCACTGACTAGTTTGAAATAAGCAGAATGTTGCAGTGGATAAACATGGATATATTATAAATTTCAACAGTTCCAGAATATTCATGTCATTTTCAAATGCAAAAATATATATAAAAATCATAATGGCTTGTATGTATTTAGGTGTTTTGTAAAACAGGACTATGATACTTGTGATGGTAAATGTTTTTTTCCAAAAACGAGTGTTGTAAAACTTACAAAAATATGCTCTTCCTGCTCTCAGAAACATTATATTTATATATTACACTTATTTATTAATGTGGTACAGTCTATTTAGTCATTTTAAATAGATCTATAGTTCAAAATTAGGTTTGACCCGAATCATACTGTGAAGGCTTCAGAAATGAACAGTATGTAAGGGTTAAGCAAAGGTTTGCCAAAACACAGAGAAGGGCTGTTTATTCCACTCATTATTCTCTACAGTATTATACATTTGAAACCGTAAGTGTTTTCTTGTGGATTCTCTGGATCATTCCTTGTCCGTTGCTGTTTTAACCCTTGTAAGGTCTTCAGGTCTGTGGGACCCAGTTTTTAACTTCAGAAAAATTATACAAAGAATTATTTTTTCAGCCTGAGATTATTTGGCCTTGGCTCATTTTGAGTGAGGAACATGAATCAGAAAAAAAAAAAAAAATTGACCCCCCCTTGATTCCACCCCCTTCACACTTATATTACATACAGGGTCTTCGGGTCCACTGGACCCGGAGCTACTGAAAGTAGGAAAATCATAGCTCCTCATTTCCCCTTTCTCCTCTTTGGGCCTGTGTGTGTGTGTGTGTGTGTTGTGTTTTGTGTATGTGTTGTGTGTGTTGTATGCGTGTTGTCTGTGTTGTGTGTGTGTTGTGTGTGTTTTGTATGTGTTATGTGAGTTTTGTATGTGGTGTGTGTGTGTGCTTTGTATGTGGTGTATGTGGTGTATGTTGTGTGTGTTTTGTATGTGGTATGTGTGTGTGTGTGTGTGTGTGTGTTGTGTGTGTGTGTGTGTGTTGTGTGTGTGTGTGTGTGTGTGTGTGTGTGTGTGTGTGTGTGTGTGTGTGTGTGTGTGTGTGTGTGTGTGTTTGTGTGTATGTGTGTGTGTGTGTGTGTGTGTGTGTGTGTGTGTGTGTGTGTGTGTTGTGTGTTGTGTGTGTGTGTGTGTGTGTGTGTGTTGTGTGTGTTGTGTGTGTGTGTGTGTGTGTGTGTGTGTGTGTGTGTGTGTGTTGTGTGTGTGTGTGTGTGTGTGTGTGTGTGTGTGTGTGTGTGTGTGTGTGTTGTGTGTGTGTGTGTGTGTGTGTGTGTGTGTTGTGTGTGTGTGTGTGTGTGTGTGTGTGTGTGTGTGTTGTGTGTGTGTGTGTGTGTTG